TCTCTCTCTTGACGAACAAAATTTAACCGAAACTAAGAGAAAAAAAAAAAAGTCATAAATAAAATTAGGATAAATTTTTTTTATTATTTTTATTTTTTTTGCAAAAGGGTTGTGAGGGGTGGGAAGGGGAAGGGAAGGAATGAAAGAACGAAAGACAAAAAAGAATTGGCGGGAAAATTTCATTTCGATTTTTTTAAAAATCAAATTTAAAAAAAAAAAAAAAATTTTTTTTGACGTCAGATGACGTGAAATAATTAATTTAAAAAAGAAAAGAAAAGAAAAGAAAGAAAATTTTTTTGCTTACTTTTTTTTTTTTTTTTTTTTTTTTAAATCAAAAATGAAATTAAGTAAGATGAAAACCTTTTTTTCATTTTAAAATCCCATCATATCAGCATCCCTTTCGGTCCAAATTTATTTATTTTATTTTTTTTTTCCCAGTAATTTTTAAAAAACTTACCTCGTTTCTTTCGATATATGTAAATGACGTCGGCGAGTTTTTTTTTATTCTTTTCTTTAAAGTTTCCGTTTCCGGTTGTTTTGAATAATTCGCATTCGTAAAATTTTTCTGTCGTTTGTTTTGTTGAATTTGCTATCGTTTGATTTGTTGAATTTGCTGTCGTTTAGTTGATTGAATTTGCTATCGTTTAATTTGTTGAATTTGTTGTCGTTTAATTGGTTGAATTTGCTATCGTTTAGTTGGTTGAATTTGCTATCGTTCAGTTGGTTGAATTTGCTGTCGTTTAGTTGATTGAATTTGCTATCGTTTAGTTGGTTGAATTTGCTATCGTTTAGTTGGTTGAATTTGCTGTCGTTTAGTTGGTTGAATTTGCTATCGTTTAGTTGGCTGAATTTGCTGTCGTTTGATTTGTTGAATTTGCCGTCGTTTAGTTGGTTGAATTTGCTATCGTTTAACTGATTGAATTTGCAGTTATTTAAATTGTTGAATTTGTTGTCGTTTAATTGATTGAATTTGTCGTCGTTTAATTTGTTGTCGTTAACTTGGTTGAATTTGCCGTCGTTTAATTTTTTCCTACCTTCGTGCGGACAATTTTTTCTTCTTTTCTTTTTTGCTGGAATTTCATACCGAATGATTTTCCATTTATTTATTGTTTCCTCTTCATTTACAAAAAAAAAAAAAAAAAAAATTTAACAATTTAACAATTTAACAATAAAAAAAAAAAAAGAAAAAATAAAGGAAAAAAATTTTTTTTATTTTGTTGTTGTTGTTGTAAAATCAAAGTCAATAACAATAATAATAATGATAATGATAATAATAATAATAGGCAATTGACTCGAACGCATGAAAAAACAAATTCACCGGAAATTTTTTTCTTTTATTTTTCCAATTTTGATTTGAAATGTTTCGTTCTCTCTCTCCGTCTCTCTCTCACTTATTTTTATTTCAATTTATTTATCAATATACTAACATGTTTCTCTCTCTCTCTCTCTCTCTCTCTCTTTGTTTTTTTTCCCATTCGTATTTTTTCAAGCGAATTTTTTTTTTTTTTAAATATAAAATAATGGATCATCTCGTCATTGTTAAAAAAAATTTTTATTATTATTATCATCATCATCATCATCATTATTATTATTATTATTTTTCAAATCGATTTCACCTGGTTGGTTGGTAGTTTTAAGGAAAATTTTCGGTTAAACCGACAGACGTACCAAACGGGGCCAATCGACCGAAAATGTTTTTTTCAGTTTTTTAAAAAACCTTTTTTTTTTTTTTTTTTTTTTGTAAAAGAATCGAAGGATTAACGAAATTCTTTTTTTTTTTTTTTTTTTTTTTTCGATGAATAGGTTGGTAGACATTGTAACAAATGACGACGAAAGATTTTTTTTTTTTGAAAATAATTGAGCCTTAAAAAACAAATTTTTTTTTTTTTTTTTTTGGAATAAATTGTAATTACGACAAAAGATGACGGTTATGAAACTAATTTTATTATTATTATTATTATTATTATTTAAAATCTTACGTCCTCCCACGCGTTTATTATTTTTAATTTACTGAGTGTGTGCGTGTGCGTGCACGTGCGTCATTTCGGCCGTTTTTTATATTTAAAATAAAAAAAATTTTCTTTTTCTAAAAAAAAAAAAAAAAAAGGGTTTAAATTATTATATACGTACGACAGACACGAATGCTCGAAATTATTATTATTTTTTCATACATCCGTTTCCGGTCGTTGTTTATTAAAATTTCATAGAGAGTGAAAACAAAAAAAACTATCTCTCTCTCTCTCTCTATGAAAAAAAACTAAATTTTTAATTAAAAAAAAAAAAAAAACGGAGAAAAAATAGAAAAAAAATTTTTTTTTTTTTTTTAATGTGGAAAAACCATCGTGGAATTAGATTAAAATCCGATGAAAATAAAAGTTTTTTTTTTTTTTTCGTGTGTTCCAAACGAGGAACGAGATAGTTTTTTTTTCCGATGATGATGATGATGATGAAGATGAATTTCCCAACGGACGAAAGAAAATTAATTAACAAAAAAAAAAAA